TAATTTAATTTTATTTTATATGATTTTATTTTATTTTATTTATTTTTTTTAACAGTGCAAAGTTTGGGGGTAAAACAAAGTAATTATTTTGCAAGTCTAAATTTATATTGTTTATAATGTCTTTGCTCTTTACCAGATGTATTGTCGTTAATAAGATAAGAGATAAGATAAGATAATCCTTTATTCGTCCTGCAGTGGGGAACTTTGCAACTTTACAGCAGCAGCAGCGGGATGGTGCAAACAGGAAGCATCAGCAGAAACAAAACACAAAGCAATATATAAGTACGTATCAGTAAAAACAAACACACAGATTGGTGTAATAAGTAAACTGTGCACAAAAAAGAGCAATATAATAAGCAAACAGTATGAAAACACAAAGCAATATAAAAAGCGAGCAGCAAGAAGAAGCAAAATATAATAGAGAGACAGTGAATGGCTGATATCATGTCATTGAGTGATGAGAGTATAGGTATTGCACAGTTTAACATATACTGATAATGCACCTGAGCAATGATTGTAAGCAGTGAAAAATAAAAGCAAGATATAATAGATAGACACATACAAATATTGCACATTATGATTGATTGTTCACAGTTTTCATATGTGTGGTCTGCTGGGAGCAGTGTTGGTTATATAGTCTGACAGCAGCAGGAGGGAGGGACCTGCAGTATCTCTCCTTCAAACACTGCGGGTGAAGCATCGTGTCACTGAAGGAGCTGCACAGTGCTGTCAGAGTGTCCTGCATGGGGTGGGACATGTTGTCCATAAGGGGTGCAAGCTTGGGTATCATTCTCCTTTCTCCCACTGCCTCCACCAGGGCGAGGGAGCATCCCAGGACGGAGCTGGCCTTCTAAATCAGTCCGTTGAGTCTCCTCCTGTCAGCTGTTGAGATGGTGCAATAGAAAGTCCTCAGGAATGCCCGCTGTACTCCAAAGGACCTGAGTCTCCTCAGCAGATAGAGTCAGCTGTCTTCTCTTCTCTTGTATCGTGCATAAGTGTTGTCCATCTAGTCAAATTTATTGCTCAAGTGAACACCCAGGTACTTGTAAGATTTCACCATCTCAGTGTCAGTTCCCTGGATGTTCACAGGTTATGGGGAGAGAGTGTTTGCACTTGATAACACAATCATGAATAATTATACATTCTGCACTGCATGTCTCGCCTGACTCTACATCTGTCTAGATTCAGCAGTCACTTACTTAATTTATCTGAAATTGTCTTTGTCTGACATTTACCAGGGCACAAGAGTTAGATCTAATACCGCTCTCCAGCTCATCTGATTCAGACCTGAACTGTTTCATTTTATTTCACCTTTATTTTACCAAGAAATTCCACTGATGTAAAAAAAAAAAAATCTCTTTTATAAGAGAGACCTGGCCGACTTTGCAACTGAGCCAAATCACAACATATTAAAATACAGCATACAGAACATTATATGCAAAAATTACAATAAAACAGAAGAACAGCTATTTAAAGTAGAATTGAGGAGAGAAACAGCCACATGCCTCCACCATGCCCTTAAATTCATCAGTGGATATAAAGGTTTTGCAGATTATTCCATGCCCAAGGTGCATATTAAGGAAATGCAGTTTTTCACAGATCTGTCAGAACATAAAAAACAACTCCTTGGAGGAGCAAATAACAATTAGTAATCATCAGCTAATATGACACATCATTAGTCCAGACAGAGACAAGTTTGCAGCGAATGTGCAGCCCAGAGACCTCCAGCTGAGCGGGTCTGATCTCCAAGTCAGAGAGGATATCAGGCTGATTTCACAAAGCAGGATGTGGGGGAAAAACAACACTGCCGGAGGGAAAACAAAACTGAACTACTGTATATACATATACCACTATAATATCTTGCTGCATAATGAGTCAAGAAGTCGCCAGCATGTAGGATGAGCTCTGCCCTCTTATGAAACAGTCTCTCCAGCTTTCGAAAGGAATTACAGCATCTTCACAGAGTTTGGAACATTTAGTGGTGGAGAATATTTCCTTCTTCAATATTGTGCTGCATATTAATTTGAGGCTGGCCAGCATGCCTGCTGAGTTTATGTCTTGCTTTTGTTTCTCATTACCATTCCTGCAGAGCATCCTTTGCCCTGTGCATTATGTATATCTCGCTGATGTTTATCTGCTGTCTTCTTTGTTGACTATGGTTGGCTTTAGTGCGCCTCCTCCCCTTAATGTTTTATGTTTTGTGCTTGGATTGCACTTAGGGAGCACTCTCGAGCACAGAGCTTTTTCTGTCAAATGAAACCGATAAAAAAAACAGAAGGTGTAAAACTATGAATTTTAAATTTTGGAGTTGGCAAGAAAGAGGAAGTCACGAGTGAGTGTTAATCGCTTGTGGCATTCAGGAGCTTTGTTATGCCTTCAGCCTGAGGGGACCAGCTTGAACCCAGAATACAGAGGACAACACTGGTCATTGAAAATACTGGAAGCCTTCCACAGGAAAAACATGTCATGCTGTGCAGAGAGGCTCCAAATGTTTCATTACAACACCTCGAGACTGAATGTTGCCCTAGAATGCCTATAATTGTCTGCAGTGCAATGTGGCACTGTTTTGCATTTTTTTTAAAAAAGTACACGACAACTTTTTAGTCTGACTGAGAGGAACACATTTGTGGAATAATTACACTGACTTTGCAAAAGAATGTGCATTTCTCAGTAATTAGAGCTGAGCCTTTGAGGCAGTGGCTCTCAAACTTTTTCCAGTAATGTGCCGCCTTTGAAATATTATTTTCAGCCAAGTACCCCCTGACCAGCACAAAACATTTTAGTAGGAAAAAGTGCCTCTATAAAGAGGTACAATACAGCCAGTAGCGTATGGTCGTTGGGACAGGCCCCAGTGCACATTACAATGATGGACCCTAGTGCAAGATTTTGCATCTGAACTAGTTACGACTTGACATACATATCATCCATATATGATAAAAATACCAAATAAAATAAAGTAGTAGTCATTTAATTAAACATTTTTATAGTCTATTTATGGTTTTATAGTTTTTGTAAATCCATTCATCTATTCATTTTCTTTGCTGGGGCAGCAGGCCAAGCAAAGCGCCCCAGACGGCCCTCTCCCCAACAATGCTTTCCAGCTCCTCCTGGTGGACCCAAGGTGTTCCCAGTCCAGATGAGATATGCAATCCCTCCAGCATGTTCTGGGTCTGCCCCGGGGCCCTCTACCAGCGGGACGTGCCCAAAACACCTCCAGCGGGAGGCGTCCAGAAGGCATCCTGATCAGATGCCTGAACCACCTCAACTGACCCCTTTCAACGCGAAGGAGCAGCAGCTCTACTCCGAGCTCCCTCCGGATGTCCGAGCTCCTTACCCTATCTCTAAGGCTGAGCCCAGCCACCCCACGGAGGAAACTTATTTCGGCCACTTGTATCCGTAATGTCATTCTTTCGGTCACTACCCAGAGCTCATGACCATAGGTGAGGGTTGGGACATAGATGGACCAGTAAATTGAAAGCTTCGCCTTCTGGCTCAGCTCCCTCTTCACCAAGATGGACCGGCGCAGCACATGCGTCACTGCAGAAGCCACACCAGACCTCCAATCCATCTCATGCTCTATTCTACCCTCACTCGTGAACAAGACCCCAAGATTCTTGAACTCCCTCGTTTCAGGCAGTAACTCTCCCCCAACCCAGAGAAGAGAATCCATCGTTTGGCCTCAGATTTGGAGATGCTAACTCTCATCCCGACCGCTTCACACACGGTTGCAAGCTGCCCCAGTGCATGCTGGAGGTCATGGTGTGATGAAGCCAATAGAACCACATCACCTGCGAAAAGCGATGCAACAAGTTTTTGTAAAGTGTAGAATAGATTGCTTTAGACTGAGCACATTTTTTTTTGAGCATGGGTGTGTTTCTGAGTTGGCAATCTGAATGAGTTACACAAGCCAGTTCTCTGGCCAACACACTGTTGGAGGGCCTGCTCTCTCCGTGATCCCCCTCATCCTATGGGCTATTGATACAACCGCACTGCCTGCACTGTATGAAGCTCAGCATAAGTTCAACCACGAAGACTGTCTTTGTGCTCATCCATTCACAAGTCTCTCTCTCCCATTCCCACTGCTTCCTCTTATCAGCTGACTACTATCCTCTAGTTATCAAATCAAAATTTGCCCAGTCTATATCAGCCAATCGGGATGCTACTGCAAAATTTTAAATTGTCTCTCTCTTCTGCTGCTGTCAGCTGTCAGTTTAGGCAGAATCTTTGCGCCCTCCTCCACTGCGTTCACCTCCAGCCATCGTATCCAGAGTCCTGGACAAACTCAACAAAGGCTCATTCCTCTACCCATCCAGATCATCGGCACTTCTCCATCTTCCTCTCATCTCATCTTCACCACCGCCGGCATCATATTGGACTATGGATTCACCGCCCTCCTTACCCTCCATCATACCATCTCTATGGGGTTGAATCCACAAAGACTTTTCACATTTTTCATTCTTATGTGCACATGTTAATAAATATACTTGCTATAAAAATTAGTCTCTCCTGATTGAACTATATCAGCGACTGACTTACTGGATAAATCTCTACTCCCTGAAGTTGTCTGTTCTCATGTTATATATGAATTCCTGTCAATGTCAAAAAAAGGCATGCTTGTCTTTGAATTCCTGGAAAAGTGTTTGACCAGCGCAGCAGACCCAGTTTCAGGAAAGGAAGGTCATAACTGCTGCATTCAACTCAGCACAAATGTCTTCCACTCAACAAAATAACTTGGGCTCCGTCCAGAACAGCCACCGGTCCTTTTCTTGATAATGTCAATCCTAACAGGACCGAGCATGTTGTCTATCACAGCGCAAGGGCAAGAAGACAAATGCCTGCATACGCTTAACGCAGCCAGAAGAAAAAATATTGGGTGCAGTTGTTTGTGTCGTTACATAGATGTTCTTTAAAGATCAAAACTACTAATTACATGTTAGAAATTACATGTTACTCATAATGGATTCAGAGACCAAAGATGAGAACACACGGGACAACAGTCATAATAATGATAATAATTTATTTATTCAGGTAGAAGAAGAGTCTTTGGCAGTGAAGAACACAGGAACTGAGGGGGATTTAATGAGAACATTTCAAAGTGAAGTGCTGCATGGAGACAAAGGATTGGGCCAACTGGGCCATTAACACAAGTCCAACACTGAACCAGTTCTCCCAGAGGGAATGAAATATAAACCAAAGAACATTAACTGGTTGAACAAATTGGCACGATAGCATGAGCTGTGTAAGATCTGCAGGAGCGGGCTAACACTTAAAAGAGAAAAAAAATGAGTGTGAGTGTTTATCTGCAAATGGGTCGATGAAATATGACAGGTGAGAAGTGTTGGTGATGCTGCTGTGAAACTGTGAGCAGAGACAAATGGGTGTTTACTGTGAGGAGAAGTGTTTGGCTTTTGTGTCTGTCATGAAGTGAAGTGTCCCTCAGTAAAGATGTCCACATGTATCACAGTAAAATCTGGCACTGGCTTTTTTTTTTTTCTTTTTTTTTTTTTTATGACACTTTGAATTTGTTAACATTTACTTCATCACTCTCCAATCCGGCAAAACATTTCTGGCCTGAATTGTGTTACAAAAACATATAAAAACAACAATTACAAACAAAAATAGTAATTCATTTAGCGAAGAGGGAGAGAACCACTTACAGAGCGGCTCATTCACTCTTCTATATTCACATCCCATTGGCCTCTCCTACCAACTGACAAGTGCAACTCTATAGTTCATATAATGAAGGGCAAAGAGGTACAAGTATGCATCAGTTTGAGACACTTCGCATGGTGTTTTCCACTCCAGGAAGTCACTTCTCTCCTCCTCTCTGATCTTGTACATCTGCTATCGGCTTACAAACAAGGACAAGAATATGTGAGGATGCGAGGGACCGTCTTTCTGGATTAGAAAGCAGCACAAATTTCATGTCTACACCTTAAATACAGGGCAGGTAAGGCCATTACAATAGTTGCCAAGGACTTGTTAAAACCAAGTAATGGAACCAATCAGAATGCACTAAACACTGCATTCGTCACACAGCTCACAATATGAGAGGGGCTGAACACACAGTGCACACTGTGCACGAGCCGGACATGGCAGGTAAACATGCCCGGCTAGGAAAATTCATGACATCACAGCTCCTGTCAATTAATTAATTCATTAATATCATTCAGAATACTATCAGAAGTCCATTCATTCATCAATAAAGGCAACAGGACCGGACACTCAGTCCACTTCTCCTTCTGTTCCACCATCCGTCTCCTCTTTCTGCATTCATTACACTTCTTATACCAGAGAAGTAAATATTCAGCTACACAGACATCACAGGACAAAACAAAGTTCATTCAATATCAGAATACTGTTGGAGGTCAGGAGTTTGGCTGCTCCCATTATATGTGCAAAAACTCATTGTTGTAAAGAGTGGATGCCACTAGGGGTCACTGTGTCACTCAGTCACAGGCATCACTCGTCGTAAGTCACTGGCACAGCAGTCACGCTACACATCCATGTTCCATATTAAGGCTGGGCAAAGGGCGAGAAGAGATGGCAAAGTTCAGGGTGAGAGCCGGCAAGATAAGAGTCAAAGTGGAGCTCTTTAAGAGTCTGTAAACTCCATCTGTTCCTCCTTGAATCCTCCAGAGCTTCTCATCCATGTATCCCATCAGCCTCTTCACCTAAAACCCAACAGTTCACATCAAGTCCGTGCCCTGTATCATCCTGGATTAGTGGTGTAAGGGCCAACCGCCGAGTCCATGCAGTCCAGGGTCACAGCGTGACCTTGCTGAGTCTGAGTGACAAGCTGGAGCGGTGCTGGGCCCGGGGGAGTGTTGAGCTACAGCGGCTTCGCAGCTGGACTGGCCGACCTGCTGAGCCTCGCACCCGCAGCAGGAAGTCAAAGTTGGCGGAGGTGTTCATGGCGTAAAAGACGTTGGCGTTGTCTGGAATCACCAGTTCTAGACAAAGAGAGAGGAGAGAAACAGCAGAATGATGAGTATGGTTTTAGCTCTTTCTGTTGTTGACGCTGATATACTTTTTGTCAGTAGTACAGGGGTCATTGTGGTTTCTTGTGGTTTGGAAAACAGCTGATCAGTGAAAAAATTACAAGAATTAAAATGCCAGATTTGCATAATACAAAGGGTGCATCATCATAGTTTTTACAGTAACTGCTGCAGCAACTTCTGCTTCCTGTTTTTACTGTAAATATCTGACTATATGCCTGGGCATTGTACTGTACCAACATGTAGTTAGCTACCTCAAGTTGAGAGTTGTTTGAAAAATAAGGAAGGTATACATGTGTAGAAAAGAATTAGCTAAAAAAAAAAAAGAGTCGGAAAAAAAGGCTCAATTTAAAATTGTTTTTTACCTCTGTCCTCAGAGATGACTTGTACCAGCTCGTATCCCTCCTCTGGCTCCACCTCCAGGTTGTGCTTCGCCATGGCTCTGGAAATTACAGCTGGAGTCTTGTCTTGATTGGTCAGCTATTTAGGGAACGGACAAAGAAATTATTCGTAAAGTTTTTTGCCTTTAACATGTAAAAATCTAACCTGAGAGCATCTCACTCACACAACAACACAAACACACATATATTTACCAATATGCTCTTGTAGAGGTTCCCATTGCCGTCCTCCAGGCTCACTCTTATGATGCATGCATCTTGGGCCTGGGTGTTATACGCCGGGGTTTGACTTGGGGAGCAGGGGGACAAGGGTGTGAGGGAGACGGAGCGTCTGTGGGTGCAGGGGGGCCCTGGGAGTGAGGGAGACGCAGGAGTCATGGTGACGCTGGCTGTCGACGAGCTGGTGTCCATGGAGTGGAGTGAATTACAAGAGGAGGATTCTGATAGCTGCAAAAACACATAACCAGAAATTACATACAGATCCATAAACAGGATCATTTTCTTCCACAAATGCACTGAGCCATAATCTGATCATTCATTTAAAGCTATTAGAGGCGAGGGGAAATGTGGAAGTACTGGAACACAGTGACAGCTGCAAGACTCAAATATAAACCTTTGCCTGAAATAACAGCTTTTGACTAAGGGACTGTATAAAAATTACGGGGGGAAGGAGACCAGAAAAAGGGAGTGTTATGATTTCTGTCTGTGTTCTTACATTTTCTGGTGCAATTTTAGTTGTTAAAAGGGAAAAGCGTTCAATTATTTTTGGGATATTTGGGAAAGGGTGTTACAATTTTTGTCTCAGTCAATGGGAGAGTCCAAAAAATAGACTATTAATGCTTTTTAAAGCCTGCTCCCCTCTTCACAATAACTTCCATATAATCCCTAAGTATGCCCAAAAAGTACACATTTTCTTTAGCGCTGTTGCCCACCTTGTTGTGCTGGGAGTCAGAGGTGTGTGTGGGGGTGAGGCCTTCATTGTCTGACGGGCTGCTGGAGTCGCTGGAGGACACACTGACTGAGTCCATGCTCTCCCCTGAGCTGCCAGTAGGAGGCGAGCGTGGCGTCTCTCTGACTGGAGAACTGGCTGAATTACTGTCTGGTCCAAGAAACAGCCTGGGAAGTAGTGAAAGTTGGTTGTTAGAGAATAAAATAAATAGGTCACAGCACTTCAGTGCTTTAATACGACAGTGTGACGATTTTTGCTTCAGGTATTCTAACACAGATTTAAAACTAGACCTCCTTCATTTGGTTAATTATTGTATTTTGTGGTTGCACTTACAGGCTGAGTCTCTTCACCATGCTTTTTCGAGGCTTGGGTGAGGTTGGACTGCTGTCACCCAGACCTTCAATCTCACAGGACAAGGCGTAGCTGCAAGAGAGAACATTGATAATAAACCTTAGACATCATAAAACATAGCCATGAATTGTGAATACAAGAAAGGGAAAGAGTCACAGAAGACAAGGGGAAGGAGAGGGTACAATAGATCAGTAGGGAGTGAAGGCACATCATGAGAACAGCAGGGAGAGGCGAGGAGAAAGGACAGAAAGAAGCTTCTATTGTGTGTTTGTGAACAATAGGTCCAACAGACCATGACCTCATGCACTAATTTACTTGTTATCTAATGGATAACGGTGCAATCAATGACGAAGGTATTCAGGGTAAAGCAGCAGTACCTTTCCTCCTCGCTGAGCTGAAGCTGGCTCTTAAACCAGCGGAGGAAAGACGGCTCTGGAGTCAGACAGTAGCTGTTGCAGGCCGACTGGAGCAGCTTGATCTGAGCGATCACCTCAAACTCCTGCAGAGATGGAGAGAAAGCCACCAACATTAGATCAGATTTACTTTGAATGTGTGGCACATGTCAGAGCTCATCACATGGTGTAATCATGTCAAAGGAGGCGGCTTGCAGCTACACTCACCCTGCGTCTCTTCTCAAAGTTGTTCAGACCACCCTGCGGAGGACACAAAGAGCATGCTGTCAGACCACTCCAAAAATGGAGCGACAAAATTCCTCACGCACTCATGGAAACTTACACCCCAGTTTCTGACAGCGGTAACACAGACAGACTCTCAGATCTGCAGAGCTGTGTAAACTCGCGGACACATGCTCTCAAATATCGAAACACACACATTCAGCAGGTGGTTATGGATTTTTTCTTACCTCTACTAGGTCGGGAAGGGCCGTATCCAGCATGGTTAGGTCGGTTAGAAAGGTCCCCAAGTACGGTATCGTTCCTTGCATGGCTCCCTGTGGAGAAGATTTAAATAAATTCTTTAAGGATGCTACGATAAAGCTGTAATTTACACCATGCTCCTTATGATTTACAGATGCCATGGTGGGTTTTCTAAAATACAACACAGGCTTAATGTAAGTACAGCTCTTGGTGCGCTGAGTAAACAAAGCTAAGCATCTGGCTTCATCATAGTGTAGAGGCTAGAAATCACTTTACAGTGCAGTGCTTGAGAGGAATGTGTTGTTTTAAATTATAAAGCTCGCTTTTAGCTCTTTTTTGAGAAAAACATCCATTTGTCTGGCGTTTGTTACAGGGGCTCTTAGTCTGTCTTTGTCTCACCATTTCCTTCTGCAGCTGGAGTCTCTTGTGGGTGCGTTTCTGGTGCTCCTTGGCACAGCTCTCCAGACTGGCAAACTTTGAAGTGCCTTCCTGTAGTGCAAACAGAACAAATGCAGCTTCAGTCCTTCAGATTCTCAGCAGTGAGTGAGGGAATGTTTTTAGGGTTTCAAGATGAAGTCTCACTTTTGTCAGAGTTACATCTACGCACTTTAAAACTTGAGTTTTTTCAGAGGGTGCTTAATTTACTAATTTAAAATATCACAGATTCCTCAGACGATTCATTAATATTTCAGGAAGCACTCACCCTCATGAGGAGCTCTCTGCTGGTCAGGTAGTTGTTGTGATCGGAGAAAATGTCCGATAGTTCCTCAAATGTCTGCATGCTGTCTCTGTGTGAAGAACAGATTCAGGTTAGGTGGACACATCAGATGAAATATATGTGCAAAATAAACATCTCAGAGATGCTGTTGAATTCTGCCAAAAGGCTAATTCATCTATCGAGACTTACTTGTGCACACAGGCCCATGCCCTTTTCAGCCTGTACAAAGGGTTGGACTGCAGTGCAGATACAATGGCTCGTAGAGATGAGAAGTTTTTGCGTATTCGACACTCCTGTTACGAGACAGTTAACATGAAGACAGTCAGAACATGGCTCATATTCATGGTAGGTGTATAGATGAATGTGTGTGTGTGTGTGTGTGTGTGTGTGTGTGTTTCTGCCGACCTGAGCGATGTCTATCCAGCGCTGGATGACCCGCGCTCTCACATGTGGCCTGATCTGTCTGTGTTTCAGCACTGTGCTGACCACACAGGCTGCCACAGCATTAAACTGCGTGATGGTTGCACGAATGGTGGGGGCGCTGTGCTTGTTGTGTTTCTTATCCCTCTGAGACCAGATAGAGCCCAGGCAGTGGTGGGGTACAACCTTTTTGAACAGCAGCTAGAGCAGAAGAAGAGGCTGATGTTAGCATGACGAAACTGAAGAAACATCACAGGGATGTAACCTGCGTCACCTTTCCCTGCTTCACAACACGCACACTGCCAAACCCTCCCGTTTCCATCTCATTTCCCTCCACTTACTGCATCCATGTAGGTCAGCTGCTCCGCCACCAGGTCGGCCTCAAACGACAGGAAGTCCTCCTGGACCTCGATCTCCACTTCCTCCTCTTCCCCCAGGCAGAAAGAACTGTTGCCGTGGAAACCAGCTGAAAGCAGGAAATTTGACACTTAGGATAAAAATACATAGCACTGTACAGAACAATGAACTATGTATATGCTGTGCAAAGAGTTTTAAGAGACGTTTTGTTAGTTACCATCAGTGTCGTCCATGCCAGCCTGACTCTGCAGCTGCTCCAGCAGACTCTCTGCCCGTCTAAGAGTCTCTGAGCCTGGCAGGGCTTTGCGCAGGTAGTCCATCAGCCTGTGGAGACAGGGGTAGTCAGGCGGCTCCTGGAAATCTTCAGGACACTGGTCCAGCCAGGCACGCAGGATAGAGGCCAAGGCACTGTGGAGGCAGCAGGGAAAGATTTAAGAGCGTTAAGAGAGCTGGCAACGATAGGAGGACAGGTGTGATGAGTCAGCTATACTGCTGAAAGTAACAAAAATTGTTTAAAGCTGACCACATGGAACTGGTAGTGACATTTATTAAAACGTATCTCACCTTCTGATGGCTCCATTGCTTTCAGAGCCTTTGCATCTGCCTGTGTCTTGCTCATTTTCTTCCACACTTCCGTACCTGCAACAGGAAATAACGAGTGAGCATATTCAGAACCACTAAAACGTACAGTCAGTGCATTATTTTGACTTTATGCAACACTTCACTCCAGGCCTACCTGTCTAGCAGTAGCTGCAGTACAGTCTGTGTGCTGGTGAAGGCTCTGTAGGTGGACAGGAAGATGGAGGTGTAGGTGAGGTCGTTGTCTCCGAACGCTGTCAATAACGTCTCCACCAGACGCTCCAGTGTTCCAGCGCGGATACTTCGGATTTTGCATGTCTCCAGCTGGCTCACTGTGTGGCCGGGAGGTAGACGATCGCCTTCCGCCTAAACACAAGCACATACACAGCACATTGTTAAACCAGTGTGAGCTGAACTGAGACGATTCCAAAGCTTTGCTCTGCTTTGTTTGGCTTTGAATGCATCACAGATTTTTGATGTGTCAAGCTGTCTTTGTTGTCATCTCATCACACAGAACATAAAATACTTTCATTAAATCTTACAATTTGGATAGTTCAGCTTTAAAATGTGAAATTACAGGACTCATTAGTAGACAAAGATACAGTAGGGAAGGACAATCAAAACCTATATTTAATTCTGATTTCTCCAGATGTGTCCGACTATTGTGTCTGTGGGGAAATAGACTGCTTGGTTGCAAAAACAGGCAGGGAGAGCGTAGGAGAGGAGGTGGCACAGACATGGAGAGAAAGAGACCTTGGTGAAGTTAGCACGCTACAACAGGAAACGCTCCAATCTGCTTTTAATCACAGCAGGCCCCTCCTCCGCCGTCCCTCCAGACAGAGAGGAGGACAGCAACACGGCCAACTTCTCCCACCACTCCCCTCTAATAACAACTCAGAACACTGAGAAATACCATTATCTATCTCTGCGAGGTGACCCGCTGTGCACTCACACACGCAGGCATCGATTTTACAATTCAAACTCAACTAGAAATGCACATAATTTGCTTCTACACACAATACATCAGTATACAATCCCCCTGATTGTACAGTAATTGCTGTTGTTCACTGACAATTGACTGTTTATAGTGAATATACTGATGCCTCAATAGGAATCGCTCCCCATTCTACTCCACTCAATAGACAGCACTGTATAAAGTACCCATGCTGTTTTAATTAGCTCAAATACAGTTGGCAGCTCATGCTGTTGTCAATATATCAATGCGGACTTAAAGTCTCAGAGCTGTTATCTATTTCTTCTTTTTTATGCCAACCCCCCATCCCCCCTGTCAAGCACAAAGAGACAACTGTGAGACAAACAAACCAACAACACCAGATCCTGATTTTTTCTTGTAAACAAAGACCACACATCTGTAATTTTTGCTATGCTTGGTTCATGCATTTAGTTGCTGCTGAGAAAACACACAAGAGGAACTGGGGACAATGCCCTAATTGGCCCTTCTGTGCAGTATAATAATATACTGTATAACATCTTATTATGCTGATATAAACAGCACAGAGGAGGGAACAGCAATGCCTCATGTGCACTGAAAAAATGCTCAACTCAAGGAAAAGCCTTTAATACCCCCAACTTTTTTTGTCATACCAGCATTTTATAAAACACTGCTGTACAGGTGAGCGAGCAGTTTTGTTGGCAGCCGGGAAAGTCAGGAAATCACATGCTTTGGCTAAACAGTCCAGGTCTGGCAAAACTGTTGATTTTCAGCAGGCAGCTAAAAAGGTGTTGTCTAAATTGGGAGATTTATAGCTCAAATGTAAAAACAACAGCCCCGGTGGAGCACAATGTGGAGAGACGCCCTGCTATTGAAAGACACGGTCAGTTTCAAACAATGGAGATTATTCTGTTTTTGTGATCAGCAGTCTGCACACAACTAACAAGATTACTTTTCTGAAACCATCAACACAGGGTGAATTCCACAGCAGAGACTATTCCACTAAAAATCAGCATTTTGCACCGCAACAGGTTAAGAGAGTGGAAAAAGCAGCATCAGGTTTTCATTTGTAGAATCTGTTTCGCTGAGGGTTTTGGAGCTCAACTCGTCTTTGAAAAAGCTTCGTCAGCTGCGATTCTGTCACACTGTGAGACATCAGACCGGCCCACTCACCCCTAGCCATCTTGCTCCCTTGTTGGCGGCCTGCTGAATCTGAACCCTCTTCAGTGTCACGTTGTAGATGGCTCCTTCCTCGACTTCCTCCCCCCAGTCCTGCACTGAGCTCTGCAAAGGAGAGGGAAAATGTTAGAAACCTCCAGAAGACAGGAGAGGATAGGTTTAGGATAAAAAATCTAATTTCCTGTAAACAACCGCAGGCTGCAGAGGTTATTTCCAAGTGTGATTTCAATAGTTGAACAAAATAGGAACTGACGTTTTTGGAAACATCTTTGAGAAAAGCAGAAGGAAACACCAGAAAAAATACAGAACCACAACCACAGCACTTAAACAAACTAGTAAAAGAAGGACTTATGTGCAGTAAAACATCAAGAATGACCAACTCCCCAACCCCCACATCTGCAGCCTGCCAGGCCTCCCTCCCTGTCTTTACTCCCTCTTTTATTCCCTATCCATCTCTTTCACCGTGTCCCCTTCTCTCCGAGGTGAAGTCAGAGCTGGACGGCTTTACTGCAGCTCAGAAAGTTTGTGATAAGAGCCAGAATGGAAGAAACCTCCCAGACAAACCCCTACATAGTAAAACAAGACAAGATGATATGTCTTTGTCTGCCTAATTATACAACCCAAGAGAGCTTGATTACAAATGAGAGCACAAACTAGATTTGTGCTCATCTTGTTCCATATGTATGCCTCTGGTTGTAAATCAATGACAAACAGTAGAGCGCAGAAACAAACAGAGGGAGCAGAGTAGAATCAAGTAGAATCAAAATACAAAACTCCTGCTCAGAGAGAGTGAGCGCAAACACATCCCAAGATGTGCTGAGACATCAACATATGGAGACAGAGACAAAAACAGAGGCAGAGACAGCGAAAGAGAGAGACTGGCCAAATATAAACACCACGCATGCAGTATTATGGCCAAGTCTTCACTCACTCACACACACATACACACACACACACACACACACACACACACACACACACGGGCTGCAGCGGCCAAGATCACTCTCACTTGTCCCCACTTTCATTTACACAGCTCAGTGGCAAAGTCCACACTACTCCCCAAACAGAGGAGCTGCCAGGAAAAAGGTCAGGGGTCAAAGTCGCCATTAACAGGCTCAATAGACGGTCCTGGAGGCCGGTGGCGCTCTGCCACGACTGGGCCGTGTTTGGGTTTGAACAGAAACATGTGATGCCAAAATGAAAAGAAACCAAAAAACACAAAGGGAGAAAGGGAGAGGAGGAGTGAAGGATTATAAGTGGCTCTGGCAGATGAAACCAGTCAGCATGTCTGTGTTATTGCATGTCACAAATTGCATTTGTCTGAAATATGTCTACATGCCTGTCTCCTACCCTGTTCAGCATCTCGTCTTAAGGTCAGCAACCCACTAAGTGCATGTATATCTCTCTCCCTCTCTCTTTAGCTGCTGCTGGCTGCCGGCTGGATGGCTGGCGCAGGGACAGATAAATACATCAGTGCATGAGTCATGCAGTCCACACACTCCCAAAACAATAGCAGGAGGTCTCTGTGCTGGCCGGCCCGGGCTGCTGAGTTCACAGTCTGCACACACAGCCTGCTTTTTGTCAGCCACAGAACTGGAGATGTTTTTCAGAGCAGGGTTTTAAAAAAGGCTCTGCCTCGCTTTGTGCACCAAGTTTGGGGGCTTATTGTGAGCCAAAGCTCCACGAGCTTGCATGAAAAATGGAACCAAAACAGTCTGTCACTGTGATGTTTCTATTCACAGAGAATACAGGCCAGAAGCATCACACTGCAGATATCGCACAGAGAGCACAGTATATCAAATGACCCTGGGTAGGATGTAAACAGGAGATGGGTTGTTTACTCTCTGCACTAACTTGGATCCTCCCCCGAGAAGATGCTCAAAAAGTGCATGGAGAGGACACTTAGGAAAGCAAATAGTGCGCTATCTCAGCTCAAATAGTGCTAATATGCCTATCAGCCTATCAGCTGTGTGTGAAACAATACTCCCAAGATACCAACAACAACAGTTGTGTTAAATCTTTGGCGCTGATCTGTAGGCTTTTGTGTTTTCCTCGACTGGACGCAGCTGTGACCCGTGGAGAGACAGTGTGATGGCCCCGGGGCCTCGCCAATTGTTCCCTCTCTGTTACGCTGCGGGCCCCCAGACAAAAGTTTTCATATCCACCATCAGGGAGGGGAGTGCTAACGGATCGAGTTCATATTCTGGCGGAGTCGGCAGGGGATTTTTCTATTTCATCCCCCCCTTCCATGCGTGTCCAAACTTTGCGCGACATCTTTACGCACCAGCAATGTAGGTTAAACTGGATTTAAAGCCTAGTAAAAACAATTAAAACTCAATGTTCAACTGTTCCCCCCGCTGCTCCCCTCCTCCTCCTCCTCCTCTCCCCTTTATCCGCTACTTTCCCAAGCCTACAAACGCCCCCCTTCTTTCTCCCCCCTTTCCCTCTTTAACCTCCCCCCTCCTCTTCAAAACCACAAACTCAACAACAGAGCACAGGATGGAAAAGCATGAGAGTTTTTTTGTTTTGTTTTTGCTCTTTACCATTTTACTTTTCCAGGCGAATTTCATGGTGATCGTTTCTTTCATGATCCGGGGACAGCATCAGAGCTCGGGAATAATCCAACAAGGAAAGTAGAAGAAGAGTTCCCTTACAAAAAAAATCAAATCCCAGATCCACGCTAAAAAATTTCTTGTCCTTCACTTCACACACTTTTCGTCCGCTCAACTCCAAACTCCAAATCCTCCTCCTCTGTCTGTCAGCAGGCTCTCCCCTCTTCTACTGAATGACCAAACTCCTCCCTCCTTGCACTCACAACAGTCCCGTTTAAACTCCTCCTCTTTCCTTTTTGTCCGACTTTCATCACACTGACAACAATGTGCGCGCTCAGACGTAGGGATGTGATTTCTGTTTGCGCAATACGCTAATACACAATCATAAATCTCATTCCTGTGAAATTCACAGCAGTCATGAAAGAGTTTTATCACGCGTTTAAACTGGTTTATATTACCCCATAAACATAAATCCTTAGGCTGTATGTAGGCTACAGTATACAGTACAGTCTTAAGTTTGTGTTTGTAGCATTTTTAATAGGTAATTTTTATTTTTCCCTTTAGCTTGTTACAATGAGTAAAAAAACATGGAAGTTGTGGTTACATAGAAAAGAATATTGATGTCTTAGATATTTTCTGTCTTGTGTGTTTTGTGTGTAAAGAAAAGTAAAATTCTAAAATGTTGCTGAAGCAAATAATTGCTTTAGTAGTCAGAATTAAAATAATCAAGTCAGTGTGTTCAAGTCTAAAGTCTGTATTTTTAGTGCAACGTTTCTTTTTCGTTTCTCAGAGACTGTTAAGTCGAGTGGATGTAACACATGAAGGGGGTATCACTATGAAAAGGCCATAACTTTGGAAGACACCCTCTTTATGTGACAAACTGAAATTACTGAAAGCTAACATTAGCTTTAGCTTAGTCTTACATAACCAGACCTATCTCCATAGTGCTGTATCAGCCCTAGACAAAGGTCTAGAGACCCCAATTATCATTCTAGTATAGTAAAAAAAAAAAAAAAAAAAACGCTCGGGATGTTTGTATTTCTCTTAACCAGGGATGTCAAACTCATTTTAGTTCATGGGCCACATACAGACCAATTTGATCTTAAATGAGCTGGACCAATAAAAGTTTACCAATAACCTATGAGTCTCATCAATAAGTGCAGATTCACCAGTATGTCTCAGTTTTCCACATTCAGTCAGCCGACTTCTAACTGTCACTACATGTGCATTTATCAGTACATTTCCTGATGCAGATTGTTTTAAACTGAAGCTGCTGATTGACAATATTTTGCACAATGTTCAGTATCTTTAAACATGGTCACAGTAAGTATCATTGTTACATCAGAGAGCTGTATTCTGGTCAGGGTGGGAAAGCCTCTGAAGCAGAATTTTACATGACATAGGCAACACATGTCTGACTTGCTCCTGAATCCTGGCACCTCTTAGTCTCGTCATCTAGTGGGCCGGAGTGGACCCCTCGGCGAGCTGGCTCTGGCTCACAGGCTATATGTTTGACACCCCTGCTCTAAACCAATCACAATCACTTTGGGCAGCACTAAGCCAGGATGCAGTGATGGTGCCCATGCAAATGTAGCACATAGATAGTCGAAAGAGAACGAGAATCCTGGCTTAAGTAGCTGGCCAATAGCTGTCTTTTACCCACAGTCTACTTCTGGTGAGTCAGACTTACTTTTAGTTTAAGTGTAAAATGCATTTTGCTCAGCCAGTGGATTTTCTACATCACTTGAAGGCATGTTAAGGAAAGGTCTCTTCATGACCAGCATGGAAATGTGACTTCATCCTTTAAAACAGCACTCCATTGATTTAGCATTGCACTCCTGTAACATTGTTGCACACATGATAGACAGTTAAGAGGAAGGAGGATCAAAACTGACTTGCAGAGCTACATATATCTTTGTCAAAACCTGGCACATATATTACCTGCAATGCAAGTGCCGAGAATTTGATTGGAGATTCAGGTGTGTCGTGCTAGTAGCAGCTAATGTAGCCGCAAGCTGAGATGAGGAGTGGGCTACAGTGGCTGAGTAAGTCTGAGAAGTGTAACCTGTCACACAGTAACCTGTTGTTAATGTAAAAAAACGATCAAATTACACTTAATACATGAGGTCTCCAAACCTGCTATGTAACTGTGTATCTGTAAGTTCAAGTTCAAAGTACCTCCCTCTTCACTTCTTCTTCTGTGGTTTCCAGTAAGCTCCTCTTGTCCCCTTCGCCTCTCACCATGGTAATCTCTTGTCCAGTTATTATGAGTTTGTAAGTCATATGTCTGTCAGTATATAGATGCAAGCATACTGGCACTTGAAAGGCAGACATACATTTAAAGGAATAGTTCACCTATAAAATAACCATTTATATTTCACCCCATGTTACATTAAATTTGTCACATATGCAGTAGCACCCAACACTAACCTTTACTAATGTGTTAATTTACCTGTACACGTCGGTGGCGATGACTGTAATGTATATTAACATACAAATTCCATGTGAGTGCATGCAGTGAGTAACTTTCTTGTGTGATCAGCTGCCATGCGT